AAGAGAAAGCATTGGAACGAGACTTTCGCACAGTGACTTGCAGTGAATGAGCTGTAACCATTTGTTCTTTGCTAAGCAGTTCCTCTGTGGTGCTGCTTCTGCAAGCAGTAGAAAAAGCCAGCGGTGTTTCGGACAACAAGAAACCACATCCGGAAAAGATGCAACTGCCTGATTTCATGCTCCTACAGAGCAAATGTGGTGTCATAGGAACTTGCCAAACAGCATGTTTTCTTTCACTGTTTGTTGTACTAACTCCTTTGATCAGCACGTGCTATGCTGTCCTCAGTCATTTGTGGCAAATGCAGCACATTATCTCTGTTGGAATATATGATTGTTGAAGTACATTAAAATAATTTCCTGCAAGTGAATGCTGAAATGAATGTGTCTTGGAACCTGAATGTATGAAAGGGCTGTGCTGTGCTTATCTTTCTCCTTGCAAGCACATCTGGTAACTCATTTTGATGAGTGGGGAATTAAAACTCACCATTTCTTTATTCCTTTCTCTTGGTGATTTCTGTTCTTAAAAGCATAGACATGGAATCAGTTGAAGTGTTATTCAAAGGAGTTGCTATAGGGTCTTTCAAGGAGACTGGGGCAAAAATCTGTAAAACCAGACCTGAAGGCAAGAGAGAAGGGTTTTGCTTGTTTTACTTTTTGTGTGCATGATTCCCCATAGCCCCTCCCTGCCATCAGCCAGTACTTTTGCTGCAAGACAGCTTCAAGGGAGGGGAAAACAAGTCCAAAGACACCAGTGATTTTTAACCACCAGCTGCGGTAGATAGTGGGGGAGGGGAATGGGGTATGGTGGTGGGGCTAAGGAAAGAGGGGGATGGATTTTGGACAACTGTCTAAACCCACAAAATCACAGAAAACCAGGCATCCTAAACATTTTCCTACAGGTGGAAGACCAGGACTTCTGTGTGGGAGTGAACCAGATAACTCCATTTTATACCTGGTTGGTGCAGCACATGTGTGGAAGAGAATCTGAAGCTGGAAAGCTGATGCTTTGGCTGGGCTCCCTGAATGACCTCCTGACCTCCCACTTACCTTGGGAAGGGGTAGAGGCATTGCTTAACTTTCCAGCTGCAGGGTTTGCTACCCCCAAGAACTAGTTTCTGTTGCCCCTCACAGGAAAGATACATATTTTTTTTTTATAATAGTAAGTTATTTTAATGTAGAAATAGTCAGCTCTGAGCTCTAGTTTCATGTACCTAATCAATGCAAGCAGAATTCCTGCCTTCAAGTTTTCATCACAGTTACTTGCAGCTCCTGCAGAGAAGATGAAAGTAGAGACCAGAAATAAATGCCCGGTCAGGTTAGACGGCAGAATGAAACACCAGAATAGCCTGTGTAACAAATACTTGGAAGTATTTTGAAAAACTCTTAGGCACCTTTGCAGTTAATTCAGAGGTTTAACCCTGTCTGTGATGCACAGAGGGCTTTTAAGTAGCCTAGGGAAGATACAGACTTGCTTTCCTTGGTTACCTGTAGACTTCATTCTATGAAAAATACTTAGGAAGTGCCCCTAATAGGTGTTGTCTGAAAATCTGGAAAGGTAGTAAGTTATTGCAAGTCCATAGACAGGCATAGACTCTAAACTATGCTACCTGTCTTTAGCCTTATTTTTGCATTTTTTAAAATGCTTTCCCCAGTGTTTTATGCAGTGCAGTCATCCATCATGCAGCCATTCACCGTCTGCTCTTTGGAATGATGCTCACAGCTTGCCCACTTGTCTTGCTTTTATTTGTATTAGAGAGTTTGCTGTGCTTTTACCATATATTCCCATAAGAATTTTCTGAGTTCTTTTTCTTGGTGTTGCCTTGATACAGAGATTAAAGGAAATGAAGAATGTCATGGAGGGAGACAGTTCTGTAGCTCTTTATTTAAAGTTATGCACTTATTTGAGATTTTCAAATTATTGCACCTATTGAGTCAATACAGAATTATGTTTTTAATGGAATTTTAAAATAGGTAATTTATAGTTAATCCTGTAAGCAAACGTTTCCATGGTTTATCACATAATCACAGAATGGATAGCACATTCAGGTGACAGCAGGTCATCTGGTCCTTATCAAGAATAGTTAGCTCAAGGAATTGCTAACACCTTCTACAGCAGGACAGTGTTAACTGTTTTAATGATTCATTCTTGTAAAACTTTGATGTGAAAGTCTCAATAAACTCTGTGTGTTTCCCTTCTCCCCTTAAATGTTATTTTTCATATAATGACTTACAGTTCAGCTCTGCCTTGGAGATTCTTTTCCTTGTTACTTGTTCTGGAAGTACTGGCATTGAAGCAGCTCAGATTTGTGCAGTGAAGGGCAAGGAAATGATATACTCTTGCAGGAGGTAGGGTTATTCTTTGAAGCAAAATGAGTGTGGGTTTCTTTATTTCAGAAAGATAAAAGAGCTCAAAATTCCTAAGCACACAGGGTATCCATATTAAGTATTTGAAGTCATGATTTCTCTCTGCCATCAGCTTCTTCTGAAGCTAGTTGTAATGCACTACAAGGACTCTGTCTTCAAAGCAGGAAGTGGAGATTTCAAGTTCCTATGGTTTTTCTCCTTCCTTTGCCTTAATTGTTTGACAGTGTAACTGGAGGAATTGCTTTGAGAGGTAGGAGCCCTCACAAAACTCCAAAACCTCATTAAAGGGGCAAAAGAATTTTTTTTCTTCCCACTATGCAGTTGATTTCTGCTTATACAGTATGGCAGTGTACAAAGGAAGAAGCCTCCTCTGATCATCTCTGTACTGTGAGGGAGGGAGGAGAGTGTGAACGGGTGACCTTGTGTGGCTGAGCCACCACAGCAGGTTGCTGGGTAATAAATTTCTCTGGAAGGTTGTGGAAGTAAGCTGGTGACACAATGCAAGAGTAGCACAAACTGACACTAGTTATCGTCACTTGAGATCCACTAGGAGAAAGGAGACTAGGAAGATGGGGAAAGGAAGAGTAGGGAAGATGAGGGAAAGAAACACGTTAAGAAATTAGAGGCAGGCAGATGGTATTTACTGTATTTAAATACAGTGGTGTTCAGTGCCTGCTTTCTGCTTCTGCAGCAGCTGTTTGAGCACGTCAGTGACAAATGGCATGTGAGGTGAGGGATAGGGACCTATTTCTGCAGTGTTTATTCAAACAAAAATCCTGCTTATATGAAGCCTGAAAAATCAAAGCACATAAAGAAATATATCTGCCTGTGCTTTTTTTGAAATGTCTTTGAAATTGAATATATAAAACTGAAGAGCTCTATGCATGTGGCACACCTGTATAGTGAGATTCATGTACATTATTAGTTTTGTTCAAATTCGTTAGTAAAAGACAAAATAAATAAAAAATCTGCACTTGAAGTGGGATGACTTTTTCTCAGGTAAAGTTGAATCTTTTTGTCAAGAGAGCCTTATCATTGTTATCTTTGCCTTTTTGGGTTTTTTTCCCCAGGGAATAGATTTAATGGCAGTAGGTGTTAAAAAGAGAAAAGTCATGTGGCAGTCGTTTTTTCTCTTGGTTGGATTCCTAGTTAAGCAAAATATCTAATCCTGTCACTAATTTCCTTTCTATGATTATGTTCTGGCCTAGAATATGACTGTAGATTCCACAAAGGTTTGCAAAGTGTGGGACAGATTTTTTTCCCCCAGCTATTATTCAATTTTGCTGTGTTTCGGGGAGTGGAGGGCTTTTATTTCAAGTATAAATTTAATTGAAAGCTATGACCTTAGAAAAATATAACATTAAATGTGTTTCACAAGGCAGGGAAGTCTTCAAGGTATTGCTTCTATGTCTTTACAGCTACCTCGCTGAGTTGTGAGCATTTTTGCTTTTCACTGAAAAATTAGTTTGCAGTCAGTGAAAACTGCCATTCCCTGGTTAGCATAATTAAGGTCTCCCTCCACATCTCAGGCTATTGTTTTGATGCATAATAGCATGCATTGAGTAATCATGTACTCCTGCTGCAGTAGTCATTCCCCAATTAGAAGTAAGCAGGTGGACTGAGAAGTCAGTCATTTATCTGTATCATAAACATGCTTTTATCACATTAAGGTAATGTTACCTGAATAGAGATTGTCTATTAGCCTGCCTGTAGTGCTGTAAGATGGAATTCATTCATATCATTAATGCTCTTCTCCAGCGTACAGCACACTGTCATCCAAGAGCTTCAGGCAGTTAATTTTACTCCTGATGACTGGAAATGTAGACCTGTTCCTGGCTGGTTTCTGTTTCCTGTCACTAGTTGTAGGGGGCCAAAAGGGAAAGGAATTCAAATGTGTTTTGAAGACTGGCCTGATTTTGATCTTTCATGAGGTGAATGAGCATTTTTGGTCCCTTCAGGCTTATCTTAAGCCAGAAGAGAGCATCTTGGATGTCTCATCCTTCCAGCAAAGGCACTCATCACCAGGGAGATATGGTTCACTTAACAAAGGATAACCTCTTGCATTAGACCTTTGCTTTGATTCACAACTTCCCTGACAGTTTTGAAAGGAAGCAAATGTGTCCCTTAATTCCTTTTCAGTGTCAGACAGACAGCTTTCATTTAGTCCCACAGTACCCCCAGCTCAAGACATGGGTTGCTTTAGGAGAGCCATTGCTTTTAGATTTTCTTTTTCCATCTCCATGGAGATAGACCTCTCCAGGCTTCTTGTCTTTACTGACTCACCTCAACTTCCTGTGCCCCAGACCAGAGCAATTTCACTAAATAAAGGTTTGATTCACAAGTCTTGTGGTCAGACTTAAAAAGTTCCAAGCAAAGCAAATACAAAGCGTACAGTACTAGCCTGGGCTTGATAAAAGCAAATAGGAAATTGAAAGGAACTGATAGTCACTAGGATACTGCTGAGAAACCACCTTCCAGCTTGTAAAGGTAGCTGTGCTTTAAATAGCGCTCTCATGTGTTCATTACAGCACTTTCTTTGCCACATGCCACTGAGGTGACTGATGTTTTCAACGTTACTAATTTGTGGTTTTGCCTATACTGTGTACATTCACATTATTTCTTGTTCTTTGTTTCAGAGATGGTGATGTTGCTGGAATGGTGGTCAGGCACCGATTGCACCCTTTACACTGATCCAGAGAGTTACCACAAGTACGGGAAGGAGAATGCCATCGTAATCCTTAATCACAACTTTGAAATTGACTTTCTCTGTGGTTGGAACTTTTGTGAGAGATTTGGGGTCCTGGGGGTGAGTTACTTAGTATTTAAGATAAATCTTCTTGAATGTGAAAAAAAAATCAAAATAAGTTAGTTGTGTTTCTGAATCAACAGATCCTTGCTCAAGTTTCACTCGGCTGCTGTCCAGAATTAGAGGTGAACCTAAAACAGTGCAGTGCAAGTATGTGGAGACAAGATGGCTCAGGAAACCACAGAAATTTTAAAAGCATTGCAGTTAAAGCTGATGAAGCAGATATTTTCTTAACCTGTGGAGATCATTACAGTTACTTCTCTCTGGGTGTTTACTAAGTAACTCTTGCAGTTTGTGCTGCATAAAGATGAGCTATCCCGTGATTCTTTCACAGTTAAATTACAGAATTTGTTTGCTATTTACAGTGTAATCTTAGAAATCCACAGCTAGAGTTTGAATGATGTAGCCTGCCTCTCTCAGAATGAAAGAGCAGCCATCTTACGTAACAGCAGTGACTAGATAAAAGCAGTAAGAGATGGGGAGGAATGAGTTATTCCTGGTTGGATACACTGCTACATTAAGCTAGGAGTTCATGTGCATTTGTTTTCAGGGTTGCTTTTTTGTTTCCCCTGTCAGATCATGGGGATAATTCAAGCCGCATCCTAAATCAGCCTGATTTCATTCTGTGGTGGTGAAGATATTCTCTGTTTATAAAGGATCTAGATAAGGGTTTCTCCCTCATAAGAAAGAAGACCAATGACTCATTTTGGCAGTGTTCTGCAGCATCCTTCTAGCTTTGATACTGTCAAAAGTTCTGACCTTGGATTGTGTAAACCTCTGATTTTTGTGGCCTTACCTTTGGACAACTTGTGCGTTTTCTGGATGTTTAAGCACCACTCCTGTCACTTTCAAAACAAAGACATAAAAAGCAGCCTTAAAAGTGGAGGAAAGTGAACCTAAGCATTACAAGCTCTTTGTGTAACCAAAATGTCTGTTGGCTTCTGAATAACAGTTCTGCCATATTGTCTGGGACTTTAGCACAGAGCTGGAGGATGGCATGGAACAGTAGAGATGTAGGGAAATGTTCCTAGCAGGCAAATGTAAGTGCAAAAACCAGTGGTTCTGTAGTGCAGTCTAATTTTGTAAGCCAAATTGCCTCAGCTCTCTAAACAGAGCTGTGTTTTCGAGGGTCGGGTGCTTCTTCAGAAAACACCAATGTAGAAAATGGAAGGATTGTTTCTGTACTAAGTAATAGGGGCATACAAGGCCGAAAATACCTCATTTTACATTGATATGATGTGGTTGGATGGAATCTCACTAGCTGCAATTTTTTTTTAAACAGTTTTCCAAGCTAATAAGGACTTTGTTTTAGTTTTTTATGTTGTTACCTACACATAAGGAAAAAACCACAACAGAGAAACAACTATTGAAATTACTGTGCTGCAGTAACTGAAAATATTTTTTCCTTTTTTTTGGCTGCTTGCATTTATTACTCAGTTTGCATTTATGCAAATAATCCTAAGATTATTTTAGGAACTGATCTCTGCTGGTTGTGGTTTTGCTTTTTTGTTTTTTAACAACAAAACAAAAACAAATTAGCAAAAAACCAACACAAAACTATTTCAGTCCTGAGTATTGTACTGTGGTTTTACTTCCCAGAAACTGTTCCCAGAAGAAATAGTTTCCACGTGCTCTCATTTGCATAGATGTCTTTACTTAACAAAGCAGTGCATTTCCCTCTTGGGAATTGCCCAAGTTCTTCTTAGGCCATGTTTAAAAAAAAACCATAAAGAATGGAAAACGCCAAACATTTGTGATTTTCCTGATTAAATTGTCTCTGTTGGTACTGGTACTTGTCTTGGCCCAGTGCAAGGGTAGCTGATTGTGCAGTGATGGTGAGTGTAGGTTGGTTTGACTTGTGCTGCCTTACCTGAGCTTCCACTGTGCAAAGTTTCAGGGCGTGGTGTGGCAGCACAGTTAAGAATGTAAGAACCATTAGGGCTTACATGTTGTTTAGGGCTTACATGATGTTTAGGAAAAGAGTTATAGGAAAAAGGCAAGTATACAGAGGGCTTTCTAAGGTGTTGCAGCCTCCAGTGTTTTGTAGCTCAGGGACTTTGTGAGCCAATGGGTGTTTATATTTAATGATGTTTAATTGTTTACTCCATGAAGTTTCTGTGCAAACTTTGGGTATCAGCCAATAACTCACTCAGCTATCTCATGTCTGCTGCTGAAAAGGAAATCTTGCACATGTAGTCTCCTGCGTTTGTTATGATGCTTGTCTGCCCTGTTTGGTGATGTTTTAGATACTCTTTCTGTCACTTTTCTGTCTTAACTAATCCAGTGAAGAAAGGAGAGATGACTGGGGTGGGGGAAGAGGGTGAAGGTGAAGACAGCTTAGAGCCAAAGGAGTTGGAGCTCACTGTGCTTGGCTGCAGCAGGCAGAATGGCTTTGTTGTGACATCCAGCTCTGGTAGACAAGAGTAACACTCTTAAGAGTGTCACAAGCATGTGTTCAAACTCTCCCTATTTTGCAGCTTGAACATTTCTTTAATGAAGCACTTAAATGTTGTAATTTTTTTGCTTGGTTGTCATGGTTTAATCATCCAGGCATCTAAACACCACACAGCCACTTGCTTACTCCCTGTGGGATGGGGGAGAGGGGAAAATCTGGGGTTGAGGTAGAGTTGAATAGGACAGAAAAGGAAGGGGGAAAAATAATGGTAATGATGATGGTGATAAAAGAATCAGAGTGTACAAAACAAATGATTCGCAATGAAGTTGTTCACCACAGTCCAGTTCCTTAGCAGCAGTCCCCAGCCATTTTTCCCCCTAGTTTATATACTGAGCATAACATCAAATGGTATGGAATATCCCTTTGGCTAGTTTGAGTCAGCTGTCCTGCTTTGTCTCTTCCCAGCTCTTTGTGTCCACCAGTGTACTTGCTGGCAGGGTGGTGACAAGCCAGAGTCCTTGATGTAGTGTAAACACTGCTTAGCAACAACTAAAACATCCATGTGCTATCAACATTATTCTCATTGTAAACCCAAAACACAGCTACTGGGAACAAGATTAGCTCTATTCCAGCTGAAATCCAGACATTGTGTTTGTTTATTTGAAAACAATATTAAACATCCGTAAACCTGTCTTGCTCCTTTGGTTCCAAAAAAGAAAAAAAGTCCTTCCCTTTGGAAAATTGCTTTTCCTGGTCTTATTTGAGACATTCAGCCTGTGCATTGTCTGCTCCTCTCATCTCTCTTCTCCTGGACTGGCTTTCTCCTTATAGACAAATTGCCATAATCCCTGCAGGTTTATAAAGCTCTATCAGCGTGGCTTTAATTTATCAGTGTGGTTTAGGGTTTGGGGGTTTGGTTTTTTTGGGAGATGGAGTAGGAGTGGCATAGTCTCTTGCCTGTTTTTAGGTTTATGAACCTGAATGTTCTTCTAAGGACTCAGATCTCTCATGTGTATGGCATGAGGTTCGCTGCTCTCTGCTGTGTCCTTCCCTTTTCCTATCTGTGACATTCCAGTCCTAGGATTTACCTTATTAGTTGGGGCAGCCTAGCCACTGTGTCCCCATTCAAATGCATTAGTAGCCCTTAGTTTCCTCAAGGTTTCTAACCATCCTCTTGGAAGAAGGCCCACTGGACACCAGAACTCAAAATTAGGACATGACAAGTTCTGAGGAGGAGCTGTTATTCAGGACTCTTACCAAAAGCACTTTATTATACTCCCTGCCTGGATTCACTGCTTTGTTTTTTGGTTTGACAAAGCAGCAATAAAATAGCTTTTTTATTAATTTTAACAACCATTTGTCTGAGATGAGGACATTGAGATTGGCAAAAATTGCCTGTGCTTTAAAGCTGTAGCTGCTGGTTTTAACCTTAACTACCTGTTCCATATGTCAGGAAACTTAATTTTATTTGAGAGTTGTTGATGTTGAAACTTGCTGTTTGAAAGGCTGAGTGTGGCATTAAATGTAGGTGTGAGAGATACTTTTTTATATTGCTGTATGAGACTAATGGGTGTGTGGGCACAGTAGGTTGTTTGTGCATTTTAATATATTAACTGATTTTAAAACCAAGTTTGAAGTGGTAAAGAGCCAAACTCAGGCTAAAGGTAAGTCTGTGTTACCTTTCCAACATGGAGATGTTTTATTCAAAATGAAGCATGAGGAATTAGGAGAATAACTAAATTTCTGGATTGATGACTTTGAGGGACTAAAGAAACATGCCTTTGCCATCATGATGTCCCAGAGAGTATAATTTTAAGGAGTGATATATTTCAAAAGTAGAGCAGTCAGAATTGCTGAAAGTATGTCAGTGCTGAAGGCAGCCTGAATAGCAAATAACTTATAAGGCAGATTGCTGTTGCAAATGGTTTGCACTACAATGAAATTGTTTTAAATCTCAGGAACAAGTTTCATTTGACACTTTCAGTTGCACGTTGATTTCATGCTTTTTGTTGTGTTCTTTCAACAAGAGGTGTTGATTAACTGAGGCTGAACATGCAGAATCAAGGTTTTCTTTCTTTGACAGCATAGTTGGGCGAATGCACTAAATCAACTTTAAGGTGATGTTGGTGCAGTCATTCATAAAAGGAGAACTTCATGGGTATGTCATTTGAACAAACTTGGCCAAAATAAATTAACCTGGATTAAAATGTTAGTATTGTAGATAAGTTGTCCCTGTCCAGCAGTAATTTAATTAAACATCTCTTGAAATTACACAGTTCTGAGCACTGAAAATGTTTGACTTCCTTCAAGAAGGCAGCTTACTTGGAATAAATCAGCACTTCTTAGTGATTATTTTTCTATCGAACTAGCTGAATGTGAAGGTTAGAAGTAACTGTCACATGTTTACCAAAGCACTTTAGTAAAGGAAACATTAGTGACTGAAGTTAACTAGAGTTGCGATTATCCCTGCAAGGTATTTTCACAGGAGCTGTGCATGGGTAGATCACTGAAACACAACAGCTCTAATTATAGCTCTAGCTATTGTAAGAGGGATCGCAGAAGAGGCTGGGTTGGAAGGAACCCACAAGGATCATCAAGTCCAGCTCCTGGCCCTGGAGAGCACCATCCCCAGGAATCAGCCAGGTGCCCAAGAGTGTTGTCCATATACTTCTCGAACTCTGTCAGACCTGTGCTGTGACCACTGCCCTGGGGAGCTGTTCCAGTGCCCAACCACCCTTTGGGGTGAAGAACCTTTTCCTAATATCCAACCTAAACCTCTCCTGACAAAACTTCAGGCCAATCTCTCAGGTCCTGTCACTGGGCACCACAGAGAAGAGATCAGTGCCTGCTCCTCCTCTTCCCCTCACAAGGAAGCTGTAACAGTGAGATCTGTCCTCAGTCTCCTCCAGGCTGAACTGACCAAGTGACCTCGGCCATTCCTCCTCATACAGCTTCCCCTCAAGTCCCTTCACCATCCTTGTGGCCCTCCTTTTGATACTCTCTAATAGTTTCATGTCTTACATTGTGTCACCCAGAACTGCCCACAGCACTCAACATGAGGCTGCCCCAGCTCAGAGCAGAGCAGGACAATCCCCTCCCTTGCCCACCTGTGATGCTGTGCCTGATGCCCCCAGGGCAGGGTTTTCCCTCCTGGCTGCCAGGGCACTGCTGGCTCATGTTCAGCTTGCCAGTGACCCGGACCCCCAGGTTCCTTCCTGCAGCTCTGCTCTCCAGCCTCCCATTCCATTCCCCAGTCTGTATGACAGCTTCTGAGGCGAGGCCTAATGTATTCCTCCCTCACAAGAACAGCCTTGCCAGGGTAATACACCGAGGAGTTTCCTTTCTCTAATTAGTTCTGTTGTTAGCCTTCCTTCTACTCCTAGAACAGATGGGTGCATAGAATAGTGTGAGGTGATTTTGTTTACTTTTATGTGCATCTCAGGAGTCGTACTCATGTGTGTCAAAAAGAGCGCTTTTGAATTTTAAAAATGCATCGGCACAGTGAAAGAATAAGAACGTGTCACAGGGAAGAGCTCAGACATCTGTTGTGCTTTCGTGGTTATACCTGTGCTGCAGAACACCTCATCTCACAGTATCATTTCTTGGTTTCACTGGGCCAAGTGCAACTTCTCTCCTGCTTCTTGTGCAACTCACGCTCTTCTTAAAATATGTAAAATATTAGAAAATAGGTATGGTGAAGCAGTCATTTTAGCGAGCTTTTTGGACTATAATTTCTGCACTTTAAAGACTGCAGGAGGGCTGTTATATTGTTTGTTCTGACACTGTTCTGAAGGCCTTGTGTACTCTATGCCAAGTACACTTAGATTAGTTTATGGTAGCTCTTATGACACTGAACACTTAGTGTAAATGAATTTTAAGAACATGTTGAGGTTTCTTCTCTTTTGCGGGGGTGGGGGAGGGGGGATGGTGGTGATAGGGCTGCTGTTGGCCTCATTGTGCAGGAAAGTGGTAAAAGGAGAGCCTGTTTCTCTGTGCCCAGTTTGGGGAGCTGGAAGAGGCTGGGTTCAGTGTTGCTGCTGTCATGTAATGGGGACTAATGCACAACATGGCTTGAAACTGAAATTACTGCAGCTGCTTCTCAGGGGAGCAGGGGGTTTGGAGGCCTGATCTGAGCCCTTCATTGAAATTATGAAATTCTCAAATGCTCAAGAGGGAGTACGATTATTACAAAGCAGTAAATCTTCTGATAGAGATGGTTCCTGCGTTCTTAGACATGGAAGTCTCTGTCATCCTCTGTTCTGCTTCTCTGTAACAGTTGCTGGTGAAGCTGTGTGATGTGCACTTGCCTTCCAGTCTTATGAGCTTTTAGATAGCTTAATTATTTAAGGTATTCTCCTTCTCAGAGAAGGAGAGCAGATGAAAAAATGAGCTGAGATAAAGAATTAGGTCAAATCTCTTCCTGTAGCAGCCAAATGAACAAGAGTGACTAAAAAAATAATAGTAGGTATTTTCTGTTGATGGTAGCTTCTCCCAGTAAGTAATTTCTAGTTAAATGACATGTCCTATAATCCATCTGCAGAGCTTTTTGATGGGCTAGCTTATAATAGCATAGTCAGAAACTGGACTGTAATTACTCCTATCTTTCTTCTAAGAAAGTGTCACTGTTTTTTAGGAAATGCTGAAACAACAATTTCTATATGAACCAAACACACATGTGCCATTTTATTGATTAATTAACCCAGTGAAATGTAAGACAGGTCACCAGGGTGGGCTGGTTTGGAAGACAGGAAAGGAGCACATGGAATCAGTTCTCCTGCCCTAGGGGATGTTAGTCTGAGACGATCACAGACTTAAATTCTGGAGTAGGATTAATTTACAGAACATGTTGAATGCTTGATAAATCACAGACTTCCTGTGGAGTGTCTGGACCGGTCACTTCAGTGTCTGTCACACCTGTGAGACAGGAGGAGTCCTTTTTTGTTTTTTCCTACTCCAGAAGCATGCTTTGAAGAGAAATTCGCTATTCTAAATACTGCTGCCCTTCATAAACAAAACTGAGCACAAATTAAATATTCTTATTGCTGCTGTTGTTTCTAGTTTTTAACATTTCTTCTGTTGGTAAGCCATGTGTGTATAACATCAGTATGTTGTGCTGCAATGGCTCTGTGACTCTGGGTTTTTTTTTTTATGTCTCTCTTTGGGGTTTTTGGTTTTTTTTCCATGTTTAGATGCCCCAGCTTTGGGGAGAAGTATAGTTTCAAGATATCTTAAAGGAACTTGAGCTGCTGCTGCCAGGATCTGATTGAATTAAGAATTTTGATTGATACAGCTCCGGTCATTTACATGGATTCCTCCATGTTTGAAAGAATTTTGGGTTTCAGTGTTTGGGTAGGATAGAGTAACACACACTCACATTTAATTTTTATATTCATATTTAATTCTGGAAGTCTTCCATGCAGATACCTGAGATTAGATTTGACTGTTCTGTCATATGAGAGAAACTTATTTTTCTCTGTTTTGCTTTTACACTGGTGTTAAAACCGGGTCTGGTCAATATAAATCGATAGCAGTTTGTGTCTAACTGTGCACCCACAGTGCACCCTTAAGTGGTGTAACTGTGTTTAACTTGCTTTGGTTCTGTCTTGCAGAGCTCCAAAGTGCTTGCAAAGAAGGAGCTCTCCTACATGCCTATCATTGGCTGGATGTGGTATTTCCTAGAGATAGTCTTCTGCAAGCGCAAGTGGGAGGAAGATCGGAAAACAGTCGTACAGAAGTTGCTCAATCTCCGGGACTACCCTGAAAACTTTTGGGTGAGTGATGACTAACAAATGGAGTGTGAGGTGCTGTAGTGCTCAGCAGGAATGAGAGGCACAGGCAATAGGTGATGCTAACCAAGTTGTCAGTGAGACTTTTGATTCAGTAGCTTCTTTGGGAGTATCAGGAGAATACTCTCAACTGAATTCTCTCTGGAGTTTCCCATGTACTGTGTTGCCTGTTTCCTTTCTGTAGTATGGAGCCCTGCAGATACTACTGCAAAAATACCTGCACTGTGACCCACTCAGTAAATTCTGTGGTTCTGTAATGACAGGCGCTGGATAGGGTAGATGCAGGGGTTCATGGCTATGTAAATGCATGTGACAATGTTGTATTGAAACACATCAGCTTTATTTGTTACCTAAGCTCCCGTCTCACCTTAGATTGCAGAGTTCATACTAGTGTTTTCTTCTTCCCTGTGATTCTGCCATTCCTCTGCAGATGTTTGGCCAGACATGGCCCAGTAGAAGTGGAAGCCACCTGGTCAGAGAAGTGGCCAGATGGAGCCATATTCAATAACAAGAAGGTCTTACTTTTTGCATCACCATAAGTTTTTAGTATTCACCATGCCTGGCATTTCCTTATCTGAGAATGAAAAGCCTTTGAATTTTTTCTCCTCTCAGAAATCATAAAAATTGCAGTTCTTCTGAGCTAGGGATGACAAGAGTGCAATTCAGTTAAAGAAATGGAATCCTAAGCAGCATCCCCAGGGCCTCCAGAAGCTATTGCTGTTTCCTTGTGAAGATGTATATGCTGTATTTCTCATGCTCTGAAACAAATTTATTTTTTTAATTGTCATTGATTTAAATCAGTTCTAAGCAATCAGAACTAATCTCTGGGCTTGGATGTTTAGATGACTTCCAGACAGGAAGTCTAGCAAAGTGGTGATTATGAGATTTTAGTTTAAGTTTCTCTCCAGAGATTTGCTCTGTGACTTCTATACACATGCATAGCTCGACTCTAATCAATGAGCACAAGCCACCACCATCCTGTAGACACTCCTGTAGAGGGATTGCTAAAAAGGAACTACACCTATATAAGGGAGATAATTGTTGATGTACACCTGAGATTACTGCAGTGTGGAGTTTCAGTTTGCTTTTGTATGATGACATAATGTCAAAAGGCACAACAGTAGCACCTTGGAAGGTAGACAAGGCAAAGCATGCTAAGTAAACTAGAGAGATTTTCTCATCTGTGTCTCTATGTCTCATCAATCTGAATAACATTATGCTTGCAATACGTGAGGAGAGCACTCTTAGATGAGATGGAACTAAGCTGGCTGTTTGGCTGGTTTCTTCAATATCTCTATCTCTTTTGGCTACATTTTTGCTGTGGGTTATGTGGGTGTGATTTGGCGGTGCTCTCTGATGTGTTAGTTCACGTTCATGCAGAAAGCAGATGAGCAAGTGGTAAATCTCCTAAGATCTGTGCTGTCACCTGCCTGCCAGTGGCAAGATTGTAATTATTCATGTCTGAGCACTTCCACTGTATAGTTCATAAGAGCTTTTCAGTTGTCCTGTGTGTGCTGCCTTAAATCTGTTATCAGCTGTCTCACTGGCATCAAAGTTACTGTCTGAAGTTGTGCATGGACTTCGAGTGCCATAGGGAAAACAAGCAGGTGGAGTGAGGGCACTGAAGCATTTCCTAGAAATGTGTTTGGATTAGACACTTTGCAAGTTTTAGATGCCATGATATTTGAACACTTCACCATCGGAGAGAAATTTGCAACAGGAGTATGTTTTGAGTGTTTTCTAACAGCTCATTAGAGATGGAGTGACTCAGAGAAACGAAGTCATTCTGATGGCTTGATAGCAGAGCAGATGTTAAAGCCTAAAGGCTGAAGTTTAAACTGTGTGGCAAGTTGGATGAGTGTTTGGATTTTTGGGTTTTGAGAGATTGGATTTGGGGTTTTGAGGTCTTTTTTTTTTCTGGCTGGTTGGGACTTTCTACCTCAGCCAAATAAATTGTATCTGTGGCTACACCTGTCCCTGCTAGCAGTGTTAATTTGGATTGTGCTGGTGGGAATTAGAGAGACCTCTGCTCTGTCAGCAGCAGACCTAAACTTCTGTCTAACCGTAGTTCTGTCTTGGTTTTAGTTCCTGATTCATTGTGAGGGCACAAGGTTCACAGAGCAGAAGCACCAGATCAGCATGCAGGTCGCTGAAGCCAAGGGTCTGCCCAAGCTCAAGTACCACCTCCTGCCACGAACAAAAGGATTTGCTGTCACCGTGCAGTGTTTGAGAAATGTAGGTAAGGAAAGTCACAGGGGACAATGCTAAGTGGTTATTTCCTCTAACTGCTGACAGTTTGCCATGCTTTTCTTTTCCCTGTAGCATGTGTCTTAGCAGAAAAATCCTGGGATGCTTTCAGACCATTTTTTCACTAGCCTCTGGTTTTATTAACAAAGTCTTGAATCAGTCGGTGGGGTTGGTTTTGGTTGGGGTGTTTTTTGTTTGGTTTTTTTTGGGGGGGAGGAGGTTGTTTTGGTTTTTTGGGTTTTAATTTATTATTGCTATGTTTTGTTAACTGTACCTCTGTGTTGGGGAATCTCAGTTGCATATTTCATACCAATTGGTACACATTTTGTCGCATATTTTGTACCTATTACCAAAGGATAGTATTTCTTAGTTATTTGCTAAGCAATTCTATTCTAAATGAAGTAAATGCATCCATAGAGAGTCTGAGGCAGTGTGTCTTAAAATAATTTCTTTGTGTGGTAGTGGTAAATGACTACCTCAAATAATGCAATTTTTAAATAAAAAAACATTCTACTTTAAATTTCTGTATGGATTTGCTCTTTAGAGTTTTTTAATGGAGCTGAGGAGGGGGAGTAGACCTTGACTGATGATACATGTAGGTGAAATTATAAACAGTTTCTACATTACAGAACATGAATAAGTTTTTCTTCGTTAATATTGTTTTGAGCTCCCCATTTATTTCTGCTTACTTGCACTTGCCAACTTTAAAGTGACATCAGTAAGAATATTGCACATGTTGCCTTTGAGGTGGTAGTCTTTGACTAATACTATATCAAATTCTTTGACTAATGTTATCTGAGTCTTCTGCTGTGTACTTCATGGGCAAAGGAAAGACAGTGCTAAGTAGCTGTAGTGTTACATGGCTGATGTGTAAGAAAGAAAAAAGCGGTTTCTGTTTTAGAAGAAAATGTTCCCAGCTTGGCTGAAGTCTGTGTCAAAACTTCTCTTGTCTTTGAAGACATGTTTTCATGTGGCAGATCTGGGATAGCTGCTGTAAGAAAAGCATCCCATCTCCCAAGAGATAGCTGGCTTGCTATCTCTTGTATTTCTGCTAAATATCCTCTGGCAAGCCAAGTAGATCATTCCACTGTTGTAGCTTCCCAGGCACCCACAATTTTCCACCCCCAAGATGGATAGCATAGCTTGGATCTTTTCTGATCCATGAAGAAGAGGTTAGTGTGAAGCATCCAGCAGCCCCCTTAAGAGCACAGTTTAGCCTTGCCTTTTGAATAAGGGTGACTGCTGAGGGCAGGGGGTAGTAGCACAGAATGGATAAGTCAAAACTCTGTGGTCTCTAATGCCCTGAGGTGGGAATCAGGAACAGGTTATTTTGGTGGTGATTTTGTTCTTTTCACTGGTCTGTGTAGTGCAGGCAGAGTACAGCATCCTTGTGGACAAGTAGCTGATTCATGGGAAAACATTCCAAAAGGAAACAATTTTAGGAAACACAAGTGACATTTATAAAGTTTTGGATGTTCATGCAACACACTACCATAACACTAGTACCCTAAATATTTGAAACGCCTTCAGAAAAAGAAGACTGAGGTTGCTAGATTATTATTTATTTAGGGGAGCAAATGTCACTGCCTCAGTCCAGATGCTGTAACTTCTCTAGATCAAGCAGAGTAAGGCCAGTAAGAAGGCAGCATTTCCCTGTGAGGGTTCAAGAAGAAGCAGAGTCATAACTTCTCATATACAGTTTCAGAAAAAACTGTTGAGGTTAAAAATTCAACCAAAAAGCCTCTGAGAGTTTGATGACCCCAGATTGGTGTTGCAGGTTCTTCTAGGATTGTTGCTTTATTTGCCTTGTTACTTCTGCAATGAGAGGGAGAGAGAAGAGTTACTGCCTGGGTTCCTGTATGTTTCTCTCCTATAGAGACAAGGGGTTCATGTGAAGAGCATCTGAGAACAATGTCTTATTTTTTAGAACTCCTTGTAACAATATTATGTGCAGATAATAAGTCCATGTGTGTTTTTTGACTAGAGAATGTGACAGCAGTCTCTTTGGACAGTCCATGATCTGGAATTGTAAGTTCTAGAGGTCTAGAAATTAGGTCATATCCCTGTGCATCTCTAAAAGTGAGAGACTGGTGCTGAGCTGCCTGAGCCCATTTTGGGCTCTGCCATTTAGGCTAATGCACCTTCTGTTCTCCCACAAGGGTGGTGGGCTTGGCTGGAGTACCTTGCTAAGGGATGGAGCTGCAACACAACAGAGCAGTGGAGCCAAGTCACAGGTTTGAGACCAGCTGGGTGTGAGAGAGCTCCTGTCCTATTTTGTTTCCTCCTTTTTGACAAGGGTGCAATTGAGCTTGTCAGAGGCTGTAGTACGATAGGATGATAGATGCTGTTTTCTCTGGCTGTAGATGTAATTCAGCCATGGCAGCAGAGATCACCTCTTCAAAAATTTGTATCAAGTCTTAATGCTACCTGCTGTAGTCACTCTGGAAGGAGTTCTGAAGTAGTTCTGAACAAATCCGTACAAACAGATTTATCTTTTCATTTGCTTCCATACCAGTGATGCCATATCTGTCAGCATAAGCAGATGTATTTGGATAAAAATACCTCTCACACAAAACAAGAGGTAAAGAACCTTCCCTGTTAACTAATTTCTTTCATAAGTGATAGTGGAATTGTTTTTTCCTCCAAAACTTGCTTTCAGAAGCTCAGATCTCCGTATATAATTTGATTCTTAAAGAAAGAAAGCTTTTAATATTTTCTGAACTTGTTCTGATATTTTCATTGGTGACCATTCCTCCCAGTATGGTTTTACAGATGCAGTCCCCAGGAACTTAATTTCTAGAAGCTGTTCACTTTCTTAATAAGTTGCTGTTTGCTACCTGTACTGTTCATGGAAGCAAATGAAAATACAAATCTGTTTCT